CTGCATAAGAGGAAGAGATTACATGAGGCAAGGGATCTCAGGAAAAGAATAGAGAGATTCTGCTTAATTATTCACACAAACCAGGTGTCTGATGAATCAATTCATTCTTCCCCTTCCTCCTCTCCCCTTTGTGAAGGGGGAAAAACACAAAGGAAGTTTAAATGGAAATCATTCCATCATTCCTCAAATAGTTTTCCTATATTTCAAAGAGAATATCTATTTTGGTTAGTTAAAAAAACCAATTGTTTCACTAGGATGATCCAGGATCTATATATTTTGAGGAAACGATATACTATCTGGCAAAACAATGTTCCTCTAACAAAAAAATACACTGTTTGTTGCCCCTATCAAAATTCAACCTAGTTAGACAAGTTGTGACTTTCCCCTGATTCCAATTTGCACATATTCAGCAGAAAACTGTTAAGCACTGACAGCTCAATTCACCAAAGATCCCATCTGCCCTATGCATATTCCACCTCCAAACAATTCCTACTGCTACATCAGATCCTGTATGTCCTCAGAAGCAATTATCTTGCTTCCTATGGAGCTGAAGGGCTGAACTGGTCTTTCCCTGCAACTGCACTTTGGAAAGCATGTAGATAAAGCATGATGAGAAAACCAAACAAGAAAGACTGACTCAAAACCTTCCACTACTATTTCCCTGAGATACTCATCTCCCTTACATCCCTTTCCACTATTCAGCCCAGGCAGTGTAGGAAACAAAGCAACCTGGCCAAACTGCAGGAGGAGGAACTGGGGAATCAGGGTGATGAAGTGAAATTCATGTAGAAGAGGAGAGGTTGAAGAGAACAGGAAGAGTCAAGTTTACCTACTGAGTGTAACCTGACCACAGGATACCTGCTGTCTGTGTTCATAAGAGGAAGATGTTGTATGAGGCAAGGGATCTCAGGAAGAGAATAGAAAGATTCTGCTTAAAGCAGCCTTCTGTATAAAGACAGTCCTTATTTCTGTATAGTTTCCATGTGATACTATGTGATCTCAGACAAAAGCTTTACAGGAAAACCATCACCTTTGCACTAGCACTCTGCCTGTTGTGCCATGACAAAGGAACTGGATTAACAAGTAGGAAAATTTCTCTTTTTTGATCCATTGCAAGTCTTAACATCACTTATCTCAGAAACTGTGCAATACAACTGCAGATGAGCATACTTTCTAAACTGGCCACCTATTTCTTAACCTTCTGTGCACATTCAAGTAAGACACTCCCAGCTCTTGCCAGTTAGAGGCAGGAGCAACAGTAGGTACATCCATAAGGAAACCTTACTGGCTCCACTTCTGTGCCCCCTCAGAAACGTAATATGTTTGAGCAAACCAAGCATGTTTACCTACCTACCTTGTTTTCTTATGCACATTTGTAATAGAGAAACTTAATATCTTCATGCAAAAAGCTCCCTGAGGGGTCTCATCTGCAAGTATGCCTTGCTCCCTGCAATCCCTGCTTGTTATTAACTATGAGCTTCAGTTCAGGAGAAAACAGCAGGCAGCAGCAAGGCAGTCAAGGTGCCCACCTGTTACTTGGCAGCCAAGTACTTGCAGAACATAACCACGAAGTGGCAAGCTCAGGATCAATTTCCTTGGCAGTCTGTGGGGATTCAAACCCACATCTGACAGTTCCAAGCCTAGTGGGTTAGCTTTAGCAAGACAGAGTCCTAACCAAATGAATCTCCAAAATAAAAACTATGAAAGGAAGTACGATTCAAAAGGTACACTGGTTTGTACCAAGTATCATGGTCCTACCTATAAAAACTGTTTATCTAAAGAATAATGTAAAAAAACATGAAGAGTCACTGGAGTACTAAGCTATAAGAAACTACATCTGAAGGAACGGCGTTCTCACCGAGGAGGAATGTATCACTGCTCACTCTTGCACTTCTTTATACACTGTGCTACAGCTTTAATATAAAGGATGGAAACAAGGGATTAAGTCTAAAGTGAAATCTAAGCCAAAGTTTTCTATTTCCTGAGCAAAATTTCTAATAAGTATCTATCAAGTTGTCTACATTTCCCAGCCAGATTTTAAAAGAAAAAGAACCAGTTGCCAAATGAATCCAAAAAGTAGTTTTCACCTTTGAATCCCAGTTTCACTTTGGTATTAATGCATGCCACAGATAGGCATCAGTACAGGAGAGACTAGGCAAGATCTCAGACATCTCTCCTCTTTGCTCTTGGCTGGCACAGAGCACTTGTACCTGCCACAGTGAGGATCAACCTACTCCCTCCCTGTTCACCTACAGAAATACAGGCTCCTAATGAGGTTCACAAAGCTCACAATAGGCCCTGTTTTGTAAAAACCTGACATTGTCATGCCTAACTCCATAATGCCTCTGTTTAGTGCCCTCTGTATTTCTTAAAAGGGCAGAATACTCCTATATCACCATGAAGTATATAGCTATATATCAAGCTGTCAAGACTTACCTCTGAAGAGACTGTAGTCTTCGTTCCTCTCTCTTTCTAGCTAACCGTTCTTCTTCTTCATCTGGTCTACTAAAAAATGAGGGAAGGAAAGCATAAGAGGAAAAAAGCAGTTTCAGTGCTAGGCAATCACTGTTTAGTCATCTGACTTATTTTCAGAAAGTATTTATAATCTGACCTGAGATACTTCTTCACAGCCATGTAAAACTTCATTGCCAAGTAAGTATAATTGACAGATTTGTAGAATTACCCTCTCACGTTTTATAAAACCCAAGCGCTTCACCCACTGTAGCGCCCAATGTGCACGTCAGACTCCACAGGACAATTTAAAGACTTTTAGGAACAGGTTGCAGACTGTCCTACTTGCCATTTTCCCCCATGTGCCACACCCCATTTTAGAGCAAGCGTACTGCACATGCATAGTTAAGTCCATCATTGCCCCCCGGAAGAAGTCTTTGATGCCAGAACAATTTATCTTTCCAACAAATACCACTAACCAATCTCAAGCTGCCCCTAGGAAAGCAGTCTGCATGAACTGTCTTGGCAGCTGCCTTCCCTGTTCTGGAATGAACAAGGATTTACCTGAGTGCATCAGCTGTGTGATTCTGGGAAACGCTACGCCTACACAGTACATCTGAGCTATGGATGTGCAGATATGCTCTACTGAATGCATGTACTTAAGCTTTGTGACCTGCATTGAAGAAAGCTCAGCTTCACTTAACCATTAGATACACATAAGAACTGTAGAACTGTAAAGCAAACACCAAACAATAGTTATTTGTCTGTTATTTTTTCTTGACAATTAATGACAATTCTTCAGGATTAGTGAATGGACACCTGTCATGCTTTTCCAGGTACTATTTTTTCAAAATTGAATGCACTATCTGAAGATGTTTGATATGAATATTTACAATATTAACACAACTGCTAACAGAGAAAAAGATAGTTATAGTATCACACATCTGCAGCAACCAACATACAAGTTAAGCAAGAGTGACATCCAGTGGTTATTTATAGCATGTCATATGTTTTAACAGACACCAGAACTGGAAATCTGAATTCAATTTTTCTACCTGCTCAATCAGTCCATACATGTCTTTGAACATCTTAGTCATTTAAATATAATCTAGTAATTGGGAATCCATGTGATGCTTCACATAAAAAAGAAGGAACTAGAAAATTTGTGTTTCTACTTAAGGAGTTAGAAAAATCTTAGGGGAATTTAGCAGCAGAAAACACATGCAACAGGTCATCTTTACTGGAAGGTTATGCTAGACTCCTTTGTAAAACTAAACAATTATCAATATTATCATGTCCAGGAAGACTAGAAGCTCCAATTCTTGGGCATCCTTCTGTAAAACTACTTTATTAGGGACCTCAGTGTCTTATAACTATGTCATAGTCTCATTTCACACTCATGTTGCAAAATAGAAACCCACATCAATAAAATGCTGGTATAGTATTCAGAAAATATATTTCTTCCCTATAATTCAAAGAAGCATTAAATATTTTCTGATTTCTAGGGACTTTGAAGGAATTTAGTTTTTCTTCAAAACTCAGAAAGTCTGAAATTATAAAAATTAAAAATCAGTTGTTAAACTGTAGAAGTTCAAGAAAGTCTATTTAGTACAGTTTCATGAAAAGTTCTTTCAAGTGCATGGAACCAGACTCTGAAAGTCCAAACATAGGATAAAAATAATGAACTGAAACAATGCACTAACAGTCCTAGGATTCCTGCAGTAGGGATGGACTTGGGTAAGCCTGCTACGTTACTGATGTGGGAATTAAGGCACCCAGGTACTCTCTGGGTTCAGGGAAAAGATACAAGTTGGCTTCGTCAACATTGAGACCTCACAGCTTGAAGATTCCCAGAAGGAATACTGACGCTTCTGCAAAACAAGGTTACACTTGAGACAATACATGTAAGAAGTCAGTAAAACAGATCTAATACTACATTTCTACAAGTTTTCCTTCTTCCAATTCATTTAAAAAAGGTCCCTCTATGGAAAAAGGAGTCCTCAAACTAAGAAAGCAGACAGCAAAAGAATTCCTGCT